GGGGGCTATCAGAATAATGGAATAATGTCATACGGGAGTTAGTAATGAATACTGCACATTAAATGCTCAAAATGGAGGTAGAAAAACAGGTAATAGCACAGTGATTGACTTTAAGGCTATTACACACACTGAACTGATTTATGACTTAGGAACCATCTCGCAGAAGTGAACAGTGTGTTATGCTGAAAGTACAAATTCAACAGAAATGAAAACAGATTCCGATTCTGATTATGTGGAAATATCTGGAAGGGACAAGTAATACCAATATATCTCGTTTGCTTTGAAACTTAATGACTGGCATTATTTTTTTGCATCTTTGATCCAGGCAAAAAGACAACCACCAAATCTACAAATGGCATTGAAGAAATCATCAGTAATAACGAAATCAAGAAAGACATTCAAGAAAGCAAATCCAATGATGATGATGTAAGCTGACATTGGGTGTAAAAAATTTTTTTTCTGGGAATTATATCTGAGTAATGTTGTTTTTCATTAGTTTCATACACCTCCTCCCAACCCACATAACGAAGCTGTGATGATCACCTCACAAAAACCTATTCTTGGAGAGCATTCTATCCAATATTTGGTCAGTAAATGTTAACAACCAACATGTGATAATGAAATCTGATCAGGTTGATGCAATTCTAGAAAAAATTCATGGTTGGCTTGTAAATATACTATTGGTAAGTAAATATAAATCTCCTTCAGATGTTATGTTAATATATTTATATGTATTAAAAGATTTATTAATTAGTCAAAAAGGATACATTTGAGAGTGCTATTATGGTTTCATTAAATCCCGAAAATACGTTTCAGAAAGTCTGCAAAACTATCCTTTATGACTTGTGAGTATATTACCAGGATTCTATATGTCCTTTTTGGCACAACTAACTAATTAAAAACAATTTTTTCATTGACTGGTGAGGGAGGGTTTTTTGAATCGTTATATCAGAGAAAGAAAATATACCGTGGAGAGAATAGTTACTTTATTCAATCTGATTATCAAGAGTACACATTTGACTGGATTGAAGTGCAAACTAAGTGTATCAAGGATGCAAAATGTTGTTTCCAGGATTTGATTTGACTTTAAATAAAGTAGGTTTTAAGGTTGCAAGCAATAAAGAAAACATATTCATTGAAGTATCTGGAGGACCGGAGAATGTTGTTACAAAACACGTCAGAGAAGATACTGAAAAGCTCATCAAGGAAGCTATGTTTGACTTGGTCTCTTTGTTTAGAACCATTTTAGATAAGAATGCAGAAAATGCAAGAAATATATGTATCTACATGGTGCAATGTATTGGTAATGTGTCAGTTTCTTTTGAACAGTATCAATCTTATTCTGATTATTTTATGTTAGGTGATCGAATTACGTTAAGTGAACTTCGTCTTGATAAGAAGCATTTTTATAAAATTTCACAGATTAAGTCAGCGATGTTACCATTCTCTTTTGAAAGAAGTTGAAAATTTTATGGAAATCTTCGAACTACTATATGCTCTGGTAGGGAAAATTTTCTATATATGCCATTCGATCTCACAGGAAAGTCCAACTTTATATTTTTATTCTCAGAACGGACTCAAAAATAAACAAATGAGCTAAAGGAGTTAATGCTTGCCAATTATATCAGTAATGTTCACATAGTTCGGGATTGGATCTGGGTTCCAAATACTATTTCAACATGGGAAAATTATAGGAACACTATATGAAGACTTAAACTATTAATATGTTTTCATGAATTTTATCAAAAGCAATCATATCAAAGCTACATAATAGAAACATATAATAATAAGGATTTTCACTTTGGTTTTTAATCGTATGTGTGTGCGTATATTGAGAGTGTGCATCAAGGAATGATTTTTTTGCATTGGCATTTATTACAAGACAAATTAACTTTTCAGTTCACGTCAATTATGTATGTGACATGCACATGATTTTTTTTCAAATCATGTACAAAAAAAACATGAATTTTTAATTTTTACCAAGTTATATTGATAGTATTTAAGAATGACAAAATCAAAATTTTCGTTAAACCGGGCAGAATTGATAATTTCAGCTCCTACTTCATCAGTTTGCTTTTGAAAGAAATTGGTCCATTTATACATGATAAAAAGAGAAACAAATCGACACTTGAATCACTGTATATTTATTTTAATTACGAATAAAATGTCCAAAAAATATTAACAATATTTACAATCATTGATGATGATGAAAATATGGGAGATGAAAATGATAATGTGATGACGATGGGCTGCGTAACCTAAAATGAGAATTTGACTAACCTGACTAAAATTACATTAATTCAAGACAATTATTATCAATAGAAAAGCTCTACTAATTAATTATTCAAAGACTTTATGTCTGTTCATTATAAATGATAATAAATTATTTACTAAATTTCAATGCTTTAAAAACTTCAATAGGCAGTAAATCAATTTAGTTGTATCTCACTTTTACTCTCCATTCAGCTCATAATGTGAATGTGGCTTTATTTCATCTACTGAAACAATATTTTACAATTAAAGTGGAACGTTTTGTCATTTTAAATTTCTATAATTAAAACTAATTCAGGATTTCTTATTATAATTAATATAATGAGAGCTTATTTGTATTTTTGTAAAGTGGTATGTATTAAATCGTGGAATGTTAATATATTTTGTAGTATATGTTTTATATGCCATTTGTAAAGATGGAATTCATAATTTTATTCATGAAGGTTGATTGGTTTACAAAATGCAATTACTCATTTACTGTAAATTTAATTACATGAAAGTTTGTCATGCTAATAAAAAAATAAATTATATATATTATGATTACAATTTCCAAAAGTAAAAGGTATCATGATATCTGAAAGTATTTAAAAGTGTAACTATTACAGATATTTGAATAATAATAATAAGAATCAATCATTTCTATAAAATTATGAATATTTGAATATGGCTAGAGATATGAACAGGAACACTAATTAGTGGTCTATGCCAAGTATAAATTACTGTCTTATAAGAAAAACTGGAGTACATTTAGTTCTGAATGTAACATTTAAACATTTAAATAAATAATCAATTATCATAACAATAATTCTTCTAATCAAAATAATACCTATATTGGTAAATCCATAACATATTCGATTTTTTTTTTCATTTACGTTGTGCAACAAACAAATTATTCTTAAAAATGTTTGAAATAAAAAATATTCCACCTGAGCTTCTGACTGAAATATTCAAATACATTGAAGATGATTATAAAACATTATATTCTTGTATTCTTGTCAACAAACAATGGCACAGTATCAGTATTTCAACTTTATGGAGAAACCCATTTTATTCTCCTAACAGTGTTAAAATATTAATTAATTGTTTATTGGAAAAAGATAAGGATTCCTTGACTAAAATCGAATCAGATTTTAAACTATTGGAGAAACCACCATTATACAATTATGCTGGGTTTGCTACTATGTTTCCAGATAATCTTTATTATTGGTACCTAAGAAAATCTAAAGCATTAGATCTTGCACGAGTTTTACAAAATAAATTAAGAAACTTTATTTTAGATCATTCAGCAGGTATTAGAATGTTTAGAAGTATCCACACAGATTGTAATGGGTTACTTAATCATCATAGATTTGATTATTGTTTTCAGAACCTTTATGAAATAAGTTGTTATAATTATAATGGTGAACTTTTTGATAAATTAGCAAATATTTGTAAAAATATTCAATCATTAAGAATACATTGTGATGTTAATTATAAAAATATGTATAAATTGGCACAGCTAATTAAAGCACAAAAGCAAATTAAATATTTAGATATTGCAAAATCTGAAAAAAATTTACCAAATGAATTAAAAGAAGCAATATTAACACATTCACAATCAATAATTGTTTATGAATCTTATTACAATGGAGATAATTTAGATGATTTATTATTACCAACTTTTAAAAATTTAAAGACTTTACAGTTAACATCTCATGATGATTGCAAAATAAGCTGGAAAAATATTTCACTGCCAAATATTGAATCTGTGAAGCTACATATTTATTATCAACTATCAGATTTGTCTGATTTTATTAGTATCAATGGAAAAAATCTTAAAAATCTAGATGTTTATAGTTATAATGATGGTGAACCTTTGAGAAAGCTATTTCAATCAATTGCACAATCTTGCAAAAATTTAGAAGATTTATCTATATCATATATAAATCAATTAGACCAGGAATTAATGGAAGTACTCAATAATTGCATTAAATTGAAAAGCATTGAATTTTACAGTTTTATTAAAATTAATTATGATAAAATATTAACAGTATTAATTGAAACATTACCAAAAAACTTAAAGTCAATAACATTTAACTATAGTTGTTACAATCTTAGTAGTCATTCTTTGGATATTCTGATGAAGAATTGGAGAGGACCCAAGCCTTTAGCAATAAAATTATATAAACACAATTTGCTAGACAATGATGAAATAATAATTTTAAAAAAATATCAAGATTTAGGATTTTTAAATTATATCATTTTATAAGTGTTATTAGTGAAGAAAAATGAGTCAATAGAGGTTCCGTATTCCGTACAACTTCGTCTCTGTAGTAAAAAATGTTCTGTATGAAACAAAAATATGGAATCGAAGATCGTGCAGACTGGCTCTCACCAATCAACTTTTCAGAATTCACGAATTCCGTTCCGTACAAAATTAAAAAAATATAAATAAAAAATGTACGGAGCAAAAAAAAATATTGTACGGAATCTCTACTGACTGAAGAAAAATCTGGAAGATTGAATCTTATATAATTTTATTATTACTATTATTATTATTATTATTATTATTATTTATTTGTCATACTTTATTATAACAATATATTTATTATTTCATGCTATATTATATTATGATGAATGGTCATTTACTATTATTGTTACTGATGGCAAACATCAATTGGGTGGTAAAGAACAGTTGGTTGACATTTATCATTATTTGTGGTTAGCATTTTATCATTTTAATATATTGTTCATGATCTAGCATGTTTTTTCTCTAGTAAATCTTTAGCTTCGTTTATTTTGCTTGCCAGATATGGAGATCCGCCACGATCTGGATGATTCAACAGCATAATTCGTCGATGTGCTTCTTTAATTTTAATTTTATTAAGACCAGTTTCCCTTTTTTATTTAATAATAATAATTTTTTTTAATAAAAATATTTATTGAAAAAATTGATATATATATTTATATTACCGCTTACCTTAAACCTAATATCAAAGCAGCCTCTCTTTTATTCATTTTTGGATCAAATCCGCCTTTATAAAATTTTGATCCACTATCACTTATTTTTTTCAATGATCTAATCAGGATCCCATTCTTATATATTATATATAAGATCCAATTAAAATTATATTATAAATAATTTAATAGATATATTTAATAAATAATTACCATTTTTTTATTTTCATGTTTTTGAAAAATTTTTTTTGATTTAATATAAAATTATAAAATTCAGCCAGTGTGATACTAACCAAATTTGGTAATCATTTACGAAAATCTACCGATACCACCAAATTTGGTTAACTCTGCGCATTCAAAATTATGATTTCAACCTTAAAATTGCAGGTTCAATCCTGACTGTTTCTGATTTCTAATAAATGAAATGAATTTATTGAATGGAAATGGTCATGGTATTTTTTGATTTCAATAAATGTATGAAGTTTATTGTATGGAATTAAATTATTATAAAAATGAGAAATTAAAGTGGTGGAATTTTGTAGGTTGAGACACAAAAATCAAGGATATATATAATCCTATCACAGATCCTTGGATTGTGTGAAAAAAAATTTCTGGAAATCATGTTTTTTTTAAAAAAATACTTTTTTTTTTAAAGTAAAAAAAGAAAATAACATTGTCCAATAATAAAAATTATTATCATTTTTAATATATTGTTCATGATCTAACATTTTTCTCTAGTAAATCTTTAGCTTCGTTTATTTTGCTTGCTAGATATGGAGATCCACCACGATCGGGATGATTCAGTAACATAATTCGCCGATGTGCTTCTTTAATCTTTATTTTATCAAGACCACTTTCTCTTTTTTTATTTATTATAAGAATGATAATAATTTTAAAAAAAAACAAAAAACAAAAATATATATATTATTAATTTTACTACTTACCTCAAACCTAATATCAAAGCAGCTTCTCTTTTATTCATTTTTGGATCAAATCCACCTTTATAAAATTTTGATGATGATATTATTGATCCACCACTTCCAACATTTGGTGGTTTATATTTTTGTATTGCTTTAACTGCAAATCTACCAGCAGTTGCTACGGCTGCTATTCCTATACCAATTATTAATGGTGTAGTCTAGAGATTATTTTATTTTAAATTTTTTGTTTTTTCAGATTTATATATATATAATAAAAATTTACTTATAAATAAATAGTGAAGTCAATTGAGAGTTATAAATTATATCATGAATTATTAACAGGTATATTTAATAAATAATTACCATTTTTTTTTTTACTTTTTACTTTTTGAAAAATTTTTTTTATGTTAAGCATGATTGCATTGTACAACAACAGTTCACGTATGGAATTAATCATGTGACTATTAAATATTAAAAATTTTGAAATATTTTTGGTGACTTTTATTTTTTTATTATTTTAAAATTATTTTACAAAAAGAAGTTGATGGTGATGATATGATTTTAAGAAAATAATCAAAGAATCAATAGCAAGTAATGAATGAAAATCAAAAGAAAAAAAAGAGAAATTTTTGAAAGAATAATTGTGAATGCAAAAGTTTTAAAGGGGGAGATGAAAGGATAAAAAAGAAGATAGAAATGACTATGAATGTAATGATGATTTTTGAAATGAGATGTGTGAAAATGAAAAAAAGTGATGTTTGTGTGTGCGTAATATGTTATATGTATGAAATTAGTTATTAAATATAAATTATTATTAAATTAATCAATTATACTTTTAAGAAAATAATTAAATTATATAATATTATTATTAGTAGTATTAAAAAATAGTCCGTAAAAAATTTTTTTTTAAAAAATATTAAAATGTTTTTTTTTTTTTGAAATGTTTTTTTTTATTACAAATTTTATTGTAATTTTTCTTTTGGAGTAAAAGGTTACTAAAGAATGAGAAGATAATCGAATTGCAACCTTTCATATATGAGATGAGATGAAAATATGATTAGGTGGAAAAGAGAGATAGAATAAAAAAGGAATGTGTAAAAGCTATGTTTTTATAAAAGAAAAAAAAGGAAGTGGTTACTCGTTGATGATATAGTAGTTCTAATGATTACCAAAAAGTCAAAAATTATAAGATGATGGAATAATTTGTTGATGATGATATTATTGATCCACCATCACATCCAACCTTTGGTGGTTTATATTTTTGTATTACTTTAACTGCAAATCCACCAACAGTTGAGAATGATAATAACAAAGCCATTATCATCGTGTAACTTGAAAACTATATTGCCGAAAAGGCAGACTGTCGACTCTTGATTTGGTGGTGGTTGTTAAATTTTGAAAGAACAAAACCCCAAAAATGACCGATGTGATAGATGATGGAGATGATGATGATGACGATGATGCAAAATGTTCACATAATTTTTGACTATTAAGTACAACTATATATAACTACTATACTAACTATATTATCATGATAAAGTCTCTAGGATTCCTTCTGCTATGATATCAACTTTTACTTCGCTTCTACCAACTGCTTGTAATGTAACCACACCTCTTATTTCACCTGATTTTTTGGGTTGAAAACGAACAGGTAATACCATGAATGTGTGAGGTTTGATTTGGACATTTGGGATAGGTATTGTCAATTCTGTTGTTAGTTGTGGTTGGGTTAAATTGATTCCATTATTGACACTACTCAAACTACTCAAACCGCTATTATTAGCACCACTACTACCAGTGTTGTCACCACCATCACTGCCACTAAAGCTAAGGACACTTAAATTAGCAACACTATCACTTATATTGTCGTTATCGCTACTATAATTCACTAATTCACATTTGCATTTAACTCTTATTAGTTGATTAGAAGGGTTACTTATTTTGATTCCAACTGATCTCTTTTTACCAACCCTAGTTGCAGCGATTCTAACTTCTTTTGTAGCAACTTCAAAATCCATCATTGACCTGGTTCGTCTTATAGGTGGAACAGCATTACTGGTAACATCAAATTTTCCTTCGCCTTGTACTCTCACACTCACGCCACCTAAACCTCCGGTTGCCTCTGAATTCATTGAATCTTCAAGCATAAAGCTTTGGTAATAGGTACCGGCCAACAAAGGACGAAAACTTACGGGCACACGTTCAGATGATCCTGGTCTTAAAAATCCACTTGTCTTCATTATCAAGAACACTTCGTCATTTATCTTTTGAGATGAGCCAGCAGAATCTGATTTGCGCAAAAATGGATTTGTCGCGGTTGTTAAATGCCAAGTTACCGGTTTGTTTGTTTGATTATGTATACGAAATATTCCACTATTTGTCTCACGGACTGTCGTTGTTGGACAATTGACATTGCCAGGTACTCCTATGTAAATGAAATTTTTACGCTGTGGTAATTGTTTGACAGGTTTTGAATCATCGGGTGTTCGTGATCTGCTGCCAGCACCACCACTACCAAATGACGAAGGTGATGTGCTGCTCTTACGCTCAAGTGCAGTCATAGATGACCTGTAACTATCTGGTGTACTTGGACGGCTACGTGATAACATTGAAGTTGTGGTAGTTGTAGTAGTAGTAAGATTTTTCTTATGAAGTTTACCACTGCCACCACCACTACTGCCGTAACCACTGCCGTAACCACCACTGGTTCCTTCAGGGCTGCTAGGACGACTTTTTGAACCGGTTTTTCTAAGTGCTGGAGCAACTGGTAATTTACCACCAGTAGAAGAAAGTTTACCGCCCTTAGAACTACCACCACCACTATTATTATTATTACTAGTACTGTTGTAATTGTTGTTGCTATTGACATTATTATTTGAAGAGGATTTTGGTTTGTCTGTTTTTCTTTTTCTACCTTTGGCAGCTTTCATAAGATCATCAACAGTTCTTGAAATACCTTTACTACTGAATCTTTTGATAAAACTGTTGTTATTATCACTACTGTCACTAAGATCATTGGTGCTCTTTAAAGAACGCTTTTGTTTTTGCTGTTGTTGCTTCTGCTGTTGTTGTTGTTGTGATGATGATTCTGCCTCATTTCTGGATTTCTTTTTGTTTTGTGGAATATCAACCAAAACTTCTTTACGTTCGCCATTTTCACAAAATACTAAAATTCTAGTTGTGCTCATTAAAGTTTTAATATCGACATTGCCATTATTGTTATTTTTAACGTTTCTAGATTTACTGCCAACATTATTAGTAGTTGTAGTTGTAGTGTTTTCTGAAGATTTAAGAATTCCCATGAATTTCCTTGAATCTTTTATGTCCTCCCGTTTAGAGCTAGCGATCAAATGTTTCGTAAGAACAGAAACTTTTACTAATATAACACATTGAGGTTTAACGATCCCGTAAGCAGGGGTGATATCAAATCTAAATGCGGGCCAAAGAATCTCGTAGCGTAAAGGTTCGTCGGTAATATTTGAGATAGTAAAGGTAGTTTCGAATAAAGGTTTTGTAGTATTTTTTGATAGTGAACTAGTGCTACTACCACCAAGGTTACTGGGACGTGAAGTTGTTGAAGTAATTGGACTAATAATATCTTTATTGATTGTCAAACGTTCAGGTGATACCTTGATACCACGTGGTTGATCATCTACAATTTCCTCTATTAATTTATTTGGATTTAATAAACTTGCGATAGATGGTGTGGTGGTAGGGGTTGTATTTGTGGAAGATGATGGCGAGTTGAGTTTTTTATCGTCCGAGGATTCGGCAGTCAAATCAACTTCTTCACTTGACCAAATACCAATATCTTCATCTTCATCTTCCTCGTTGATAGTTTCCAATGAATTTTCTGCCATGTTGACTATAATTTGTGGTGATTTGCTAGAATCAGAAATGTCACTTGCAAGTGATGACGAAGGACTATCATTGTTGTTGCCATCATTTTTATTGTTATCATCAGTGTTATTTTTATTGTTATTAGTATTACTATTAGCAAAATTATCGGTATCAGAAGTAGTTGTAGAGGCGGAAGAGGGTGAGTTAGAAGAGGGTGAAGTAGTTGAGGTTGGGGTGGTGGCAGTTGAAGATGGTGAGGTAATGATTTCTTTTAAAGAACTTGATGAACCAAAACTTTTACTTGATAATATACTTGGACTATGACGTTGATGATATTTTCTCAATTGACCCAAAGTTTTCTTTGCCCATAAATTACCTACTTTGCCTATATGCTCAGCAGGATTATCGCCAGGTTTGATTAATTCCTCTTTTTGTTTTTCTCTGGCAGGGCTAAAAGGTCTTTTTGGCCATTTCCAAGCTGTTGGGGTAGTAGCAGAGTTTAATGGAGTTTGGATGGTTGTTAAAGGAGTGGAAGGAGTAGATGTAGATGAAAGTTCTGATGATGGAGTTTTGGCCATCGGAAATGACGGCGATGAGTCAGTGGTGATTTTTACATTTTTTGACCTTGATCTTTCAAAAGAGCTTTCGTTGCCTTCATCTTCGTCTTCGTCTTCATCATCTTCTGTTTCTGATAATATAGATAAGGGAGTTTGCACAGTTAACATTTGCGGGACAGTTCTTCTTGATTGTATTGAGGAAAATAAACGTGTTGTTAATCTTGAAGAATTTTTATAATGTTCTCTTCCAATCATACCACTACGATTATTTGCCGTAGGTTCATTCGTGGAAGGCTGTACTTCTTTATTTGAAGAGAAAAAATTCATCCTTGATGTTTTTGTTTCTTTATTATTATTATTATTATTATTACTATTATTATTATTATTATTATTATTATTATTATTATTATTATTATTACTACTATTATTAATGCTTTTATTTTTTGTCGCTGTTGTTGATTTTGATACATAATGATTAATGCTATGATTATCATTATCATTATTAGTAGTAGTACTAGTATCTTTATCTTTAATTGTTTCTTTTTGCTTCCCCGCCTCCACCTCTTCCTGTTCCGTTTCCTCCTCCTCTTCATTAATATTTTGCAAATTCGTTAAAAAGGAACCTGATAACCTTTTTTCATTTTTTGGTTTTTGCTTTTGTTGATGTTCATCTTCACTATCTTTTCCTTGCAAACTGTCGTCTTCGTCATAGTCATCATTAGTATAATCATCATCCTCCTCTTCAACTTTCTCTGAAATAGAATGACCGTCTATTGATGATATACTGCTACCACTATTATTATCATGATAAAAAGGTCTCTTTGGACTATTAAGACTGATACCCAAAGTCCTTCTACTACCACTAAAACCTCCTAGTTGTTGACGTTTTGTAAATGGTTGATTAGAAATTATTGTCGGAGAAAATAGTGATGTTGTAGGAGATGATGAGTAAGTTATTGATTCGTTGTCATTTTTTTGATTTTCAGAATTAATATTAATAATGTTAGCATTATTTTTATTTTTATTTTTATCTACAATTGTCTTTGTTTTACCTGAATTAAAAAATTCATCAGATAATTTTAATGAAGAAATGTCTTTTTTAAATTCGATATTGTCAATATTGCTATTACTAGTACTATTACTATTACCATCCATTTTCTCATTTTCGCCCATACCCTCCACTTTAAACCCTTCCTCCACTTCCTCTTCCTCCACTATGATTTCACGATCGTTCCTGCCCATTGTATCTAAATTAGGTTCTTTTGAAGTTAAAATTAATCTGTTATCACCACTATTGTCACTAATGTTATTATTAGTAGAACTGGCTAGAGAAGAACTACAATAACTATTTAAAGATGCATTCTGATTGTAAGATTTTTGGCCAGGCTGAAAAATAAAAAAATTATTTAAAGCTTAGTAATTTTACTCTACATTGGATTTTTTATCTTGCGTTTTAATAATACCTGATCATTTCCTTCCGGTCCTTCTTCTAAATCATTTAATGACTTAAAGCGTGGACTTGCTAACTTCATTCTACTACGAGGAGAAGAGGGCCAACCCTCCATAACCATTCTTCCAGCACGTTCAGGCCGAGTTGTATCTATAGAAGGTGTGGGCCATTTTTCAATCCCGCCTGGTTTTGATAAAGGATAAAATTTTGACTATAATAATAATAATAATAATAATAATAATAATAATAATAATAATAATAATTGTAATATTGTTATTTAATTGTTAAATTGTTATTAGTGATAAGTGATTATTATTATTATTATTATTATTATTATTTTAATTCTATTAAAATAAAATTACCCTCTTATGTGCTGATAAATCAGCCAAAGTACTGTTTTTAGTTGGAAAATAAGGAGTGCTAGAGATTGGATATTTATCCTCTTTTTGACTTAAAATCCCAGTTCTACCCGACCCACCATTATTATTATGGTTATTACTAGATTTAGTTGTGGTGATAGTAGACATTCCAGAAGACATGTCAGAAGATGAGTTAATAGGGTGTTTAATAATGGGTGGAGTAATATTTGAATCTATTATTATTTCAGTCTTTAATTTTTCGTCAATAACATCGACCTCAATTCCAACTCTTCCAATGTGATTAATATTAGTACTACTTTTATTTTTATTATAAATGTTATTATTATTGTTATTGGTGTTGTTGTTGTTATATTCTTCTATTATAGTAATCATTTGATTACTATTAATATCACTATTTTCGATTTCGCTGATTTTTTTGTTGATGCTTTTATTCCAAGAAGTTGAATCGTTTTCTTGTTGTTCTAAAATAATAATGTTGTTGTTGTTTTTGCTGCTATATACAAGTGATTGTGAATGTGATAAATTTTGTTGTTGACTTTTATTATTCCCATCAGACGACGATGAGCTCTTGCTCAAAGTCGTCTTGCTTATGTGTGAAGGTGATTTTGAAGAAGAGAAGGATGTTGGACGATGACTAATATGGATATCGTCCTTGTTGTTGTTGTTGTTGTTGTTGTTGTCGATGTTGTCGATGTTATTGTTATTGTTATTGTTGTTGGTTTCTGTATTGATAACTTGTTGTTGTTCTTGTTGTTGCTTTTCTTCTTGTTCTTTTACTTTTACTTCTTTTACAAATACAACTTTTTCTTCTCGCTGTTGAGAAGTATTAATATTTTCAAATATGATCTTATTGTTATTTGGTGTTTGAAGGAAGGTTTTATTTTCTTGACCAGAAGAAAGTTGTAAGGAATTTTGAAGTGAAGGTTGTAAAGGAAAAGAAGAAGAAATATTTTGGTTTTGGAAATTTTGTTTTTCTTCGAATAATTTATTATTATTATTACTATTATTGTCAAGAGAAGAAAACGCTTGAATAAAATTAAAATTAATATTGTTGTTATTGTCTGTTTGAGTTTCTTTTGTGTGACTAATATTGTCCTGATTACTTTTTTTGGTAACACTATCATTCGTTTTTGACCTATCTTTTTCAATTTCGTAATAATTAATTTTAAGCGGAGTGTGTCGTTGTGTAATATTAAAAATAGCTTGTTGTTCTATTTGTGGCCTTTGTTGTTTGACATTTATTATATTATGTCGTGGTGGTTGTCGTTTTAGAGGTTTTTCTAGTGGTGGTTGAACGTTAAATGAAGAAGAAGGAGAAGGAGAATGTGGAGAAGAAAGGGAATGTGAAGTAGTAAAAGAATGTGGGGAAGTAAGAGAACGTGGGGAAGTAAGAGAGTGTAGAGAAGAAGGAAATTTATTATTATTGTTGCTGTTTTCGTTGTCGTTGTTGTTATTATTATTAGTATTAGTATTACTATTATTATATAAAGGTTCCATTATTATATAATAATACTAAATATAATAAAATAATAATAATAATAATATTTTATTAAAATTAGATCTAATTTTTTTTTTGGATTTTTTTTTTAAAAAAAAAAATTTGAGAAAAAAAAGAATGGTAAAATAAAATTTTCATTAATATTAAATATTGTTGTTGTAGCGAATAATAATAATGATAAATATATTAATAAATATTATTATTTGTTTTTTATTTGATTATTATTTATAAATTAAAATAAATAATATATATAAATATATTTTACCGAAGATCTTTTTTTTTTGGAGGGAAAATTTTCTGGAAATCGAAAAAAACATCTTCTGCAATCAAATTAATCAAAATTTTAAATTTTAAATGATGTGTAGTAGTTAATTTATTAATTTTTTATTTTTATTTTTTTATACATGTAGTGTAATTTCATTCGGAAATTAAAAAAATAAAATATTTGATGTAATATGTGTGTGTGTGTGTGTGTGTGAAGTAAGATTGTTATATTATATCAATAATAATATTTAATTAATATAATATTAATATTTTTAACAATCCACTTAACGCTTGGACTATTTTCAGGTTTGAAATTTTGATCTAATTATTTTATTTATTTGGAAATATTTATTTGTTTACAACTGCCACGAGACGAAATTATAATAAATTGGGTATACCGTTACACGAGATATATATAACTATGGTCCCGTCCATCAAAGTTCGAAGGAAAACTCCACGGATCACACCAACCAATTAAATCATAGTAAAAATATCAAGCATACAAACAAGCCACAATGCAAATTTATGTTTACAAATAAATCTGTTCCCATAGTGTACATTTTCTATATGAGGCTACGGGTATGGGGAAATAAGATTACCCACAGTCTTAAATACAAAATACTAATAATACATGAGTAAATAAATCATAATTACCAAATAAATAAATTTTCATAAATTCCAATGTAAATAAATGCTAACCATCAAATATTCTTTTCAGATTAGTCTCTATTATTATTATTTACTTATTTGTTACTGGAATAGCAAGATGCCGAGTCTGGATCGCTTCTTTCGTAACTTTTGTCATATTTAAAAATAAAGTTGAATTCTGGAGAAATATGAACTCTTTCTTTTTTACAAATCGTAAATATTTAAAATTACACAAGCACATATAGTACATGTGGGGCGTACTGCAACAAAAACAAGTCAAAGTACAGGAAATTACAGGGTTAAAAATGTTGTCATCACGAGTGTTTTGAAGTGAGATAATATCAAGAGAACAATATTGTGAATTACTCCTTTGTTTAGGGCAACGGTGAGCATATTGCCACAAAATAAATTTCGTGGTACAGGATCACAATTGCAGTTGGTAATTAATTAATCCAAAAGTGTAGGTTGAATAAGTCACTCAAAGAGGCTTAACTGCTAATAATTATTTTATAACAAGGGCAAGAAAGAAAAAATTCCTTGTATATTAACAAAAGTTTTATCAAAAAGAGAAAAAATCAATAAACACTAAAATGTGACAATTTAATTATTAAATTACCTAATACTAATAAAAAGTGGCAAATTGTCTATCTTTTCTTGGCCCTTTTAATGATGGAAATAGCTGCCAATCATAATCAAATAGGCTTACCATTCATTTCTCACTTCATATGTGTGTGTGCTTTAGGGAAATTGCTTTCACATTCTGCTGCTGCCTTTTCAAATTCTTTTTTTTTAAAAAAAATAATATTATCTTTTATTTTAGCATGATAGGCATTAGGTCCTTTGCACACTAATATTAGGTTTGTAATTGAGTAAAACAATTATCATTAATAAGAATATCAAAATCAGAACGAAATTCATATCTGGTGAATTGCTTCAGAGGTTGTTTTTTGGAATTTCCTTCTTTTTTTTTCGCAAGTCACCTGATTCAACGTGTTGCAAAAAAAAACTTGTTATAACTTAAAAAATAAATCAGTAAATGCTTAAAAATATTTTTAATTAGAAATACGTCACCGTTGCTTTTAATTGCAAGCCGGCATCTTGATTTTTTTTACCAATTAGAGATCAATTGGTAAATTATTTGACAAAAAAGAACTAGCAGTGGATTAATTGTGTGCTATCACGTGGTTTCAGCAGTAATCCCTTCTCTATAAGCCACACATCACTTGTTTAACTTATTAATATTCCCTTATGAATATTCTCATAATATAATTGCAAAACCCAAATCTAGTTAGAAAATTATTTGAATTTTTATTATCTAATGTAATAGGATCGTAAAGTTATTTTAAATCTCCGAATTATCCGGAATCACAAGGATCGGATGATGGATGACGTTTTAATATTAAAAAAAAACAGAAATTCCCACTTGAAAGGAATAAGAGAATAATATATGATATACTGTATATGTTAATATATTTCAACAATGATATCACTGATATCATCATTAGACGTATTATAGATAAAAGAGAATGTTCTTATCCAAAATCTACAAACAATAACATTTTCACGTAGTATAATTTGTATACATGTAATTTTACTTATTGAATTATAGAATACAAAAATTTTGCAGAAATCGGAGAAGAAGGAATGGAAATATTTAAAAGATTCAAAAAATATATATAATCATAAGAAGCCAATTCCAAAGTAAATAATGGCTTAATTTTTTGAGTCAATTTGTGTTCCTGCTGGAGAAACATTATTATTTATAAATAAAAGGAACATTATTTTTTTAAAAAAAATGATTTTTTCCCAGCTGATTAAAACAACTCTCAGATGGTGCCGGGCTTGCTGGTATTTCCGAGCAAATTCTCGTTTGCATAGCAAGATTTGGTAAATTATTTTTTTTAGCCCGTGGTTTACAAATTATATTTGTTTTATTATTATTGTTGTTTATTTTCAAAATATTATTAAACTTTTTTTTGGAAGATAAATAGAAAGAATTAGCATCAAGGATGGAAGTTATGCCGTTTTGTGGACACAAATTTACAATTTATCCAGTAAAAGAAAGAGATTTTCCCAAGGAATGGAATAGAATCTCCATTAGGGGTTCTATTCGAATTCGAATCATTTGTTTTTACTCGTTATTATTATTATCATTATTATTATGAATATTATTATGAATATTATTCGAATAAAACAAATAAAACGAATGAACGAATAATTCTAAAGAGAATTTATATTATGAATAGAAACATTAATATTCTCCTATTTGTAGGATGCAAAATAGAAAATAATTTTGCCCGTATTGTCATAATCGACTATCAATCAACAAAGAACAATTTTGTAACAAACGGTTTAGAGATTTGATGATTCGTCTGTTTATTTATTATTAAATTTAAAAAAAAAATTTTTTTTAAACAGTTAAATATATGCAAGGTATTCATTAGACAGACATTCAGCATTACTAAAAATGAATAGATAAATATATAAATGTATAAATATGTACTAATAAAATATTCATAACTATATTTAGTTTTTTTTTTAAAAAATAATCATCCATACATCAATTTTTATATCAAGGTAGAACTCTATTCGAACCAATATCAAATTTTCTCAAGTCGAGACTACAGAAAATCATATCAAAAGATATTAATAGATCCACCTCATTTATTGATTATGAATGATGTCAGCAAATTACAATTATATAATACCAGTTATGGTATAGCAAAAATGGTTTTGTGTTGCAAATGATGACGAAGCACTTGTTTCTATTTATTTATAATAAATAAACACAGTAGTACATGTATTACTATTACTATATAGTTAATTGGATAAATGCAGAAAACTTAGTTTCGTATGGGCACGTTGAGCAAATTGGACGAGTAAAGGTGAATTGTGTTAAAAAACTATTATTAAATTATTAATTCAAATGTGTGCGATCTTGTGGAATGAAAAGAAAATGTGTAAAGTTTGTTCTTCCCATATTTTTGTTAATTACACAAATGTGTTCATAACTCCTCATCAAGCTTTAGTAATAATAATTTTTTTAAATTGTTTTTTTATTTATTTATAACTATAAATGCTATCATGATTTCGATTTTTGGTTGAAAAAACAAAAAAAATGCATATACAAGTATTCATCAAAACCCAAGATTTCTTCTGTCCAGATAGTAAAAAATGTTATTTTCAAACTGTGCAATTATAAAAAACTATTCCAATTTAATTGAAACTTTGTTTTATTTTGTAATTTTACATGAATGAATATCTATCAAAAAAAAAGCTAAGCTGCCATGTGGTGTAAACTTTAATAAGTTTTTTGTTGTATATATTTGTGTAATAGCAATTAAACAAAAACATGGATTCATTGTCAGGTGACACCTCGGTTTGAACCACCAGTTTACTATTATTATTATTACTATTACCATGTTAATTCTATTCCAAAATTACTGCGAACCCGAACATTCGATTAAGCACAAAGATTCAACATATTTTCACATAGAACTTCGTATAATATTTTATTCTACGTGGGAAACAATAATTTTTTGATTAAAATCAAGGACAGAGAATTTCAAAAATTACCATTAGACTTGTATATATAATAATAATAATAATATAAAATTTAACACTTTTTGTTAAAATATAACATATTCTGGTGACTATTGTATTATAAAGCTTCATTCTATCGCACAGCTTGAAATAGGCAATTAATCAATTGCAATATTGAAAGATGTATGAATATATCGAGAAAATTTTGTGATTTACATAAATTGTGCAATTTTGTGAATCACAAAATCTATCTGTATATACATGATCTTTTTGTAAAAATAATGGTGAGATATTTCATTTCCTTAACATTAAAAATTTTTTTTTTCACTTCTTCTAACCAAAAAGTAGCTTTTCTATTCATTTTTCAAGACTTTAATAGGTCACCAGGTGACTGTAGAATTAAAAAACGATTTAGCCATTACTGGTATCTTAAGCTCGGTTGATCAATTTCTCAATATCAAATTGGATAATATACGAGTAATTGACGATGCAAAATATCCTCATATGGTATTTATTTATATTTATACTCGTCTTGGATCAACTAGATTAATAAATATTTTCAAAGATCCCTTCTATACACGCATACGCATATATATTTTTCGCTGTTTAATTTTAATTGACTTCTAACATTTTAAGATGGCAGTAAAGAATTGCTTTATACGTGGATCTGTTGTAAGGTATGTCCAACTGCCTGCCAGTACTGTTGACACATCATTATTACAAGATGCCGCTAGAAGAGAGGCTCAACAGCCTACTACTGGTGGTGGTGGTGGTGGATCTCATACCATCTCTTGATAGAAGAAACTAAGTTTTTCAAAATGTAAAAATTATTTTTTCTTTTATATTAAAATAAATAGTTACTCTTTAATAGTTGTCGATTCTGGTATATTACATATATAAATTAATAAATACATTTGTTTTCAAAAATTTCTAAATCCCTTTAGAGATTAAGTGTTTTTTAAACTTCTTTTAGAATTAATAAGTTCTATATTATTGGTTCAATACCAATTTTCATTACTTTTATATGAAAGATTAGAAAAAGAACTGACAAAGGCAGAAAAAGAATTAGAAAGAAACATAGGAAAATTCTAGTATTACAAAGAATTATTAGACAAATAGAGTAAAGTGAAATGTAAAATATAATTTATTTCAAATAAAATTTAAAAACCCATTTATGAGTTATTTATTACATTATTATTATTATTATTAGAAATCACTGAATTTATAGCATTTCTTGATGTTTCAATTTTGCATGCTGCAGAATAATAAGTAATCTATATAGTCCTACTTTGGAATTGACACTTGATTTATTTCACTTTTATCCACTTTCAATAATTCAAATACATACTTTGAACACTATATATAGTGATCACTTTTATTAACATTACCTGCATGAAAAAAACTCTTGTGAATGGTATATAATTATTTTTTTACAGAATTTTGCTTACCTCCTTTGTTTCCAAATGTTTGATTTCTTTTAATACTCATCCTTTTTTCAAAAATCTACCAAAAACACTATTTAAAATTATAATTAGTGGAATACTAAAATATAAGACTTGGAATATTTATTTCACTTGGCTGAACTGTATTGTTGCTGGAGTAGATACATAATCT